TGTCGCTATCCAGGTTCGACTTTGTTATTACTTATCGGCCTGGGAAGCAACAAGGGTTGTCCGATGCATTATCAAGGAGATCATATCTTGCGCCAAAGGCTGGAGATGCAGCATTTGATCAACAGTGCACGACATTATTGAAGCCAGAGAAATTTCGGCTCAACGCAGCTATTGTACCAATTGATGCTGACTTCCTCGACCAGGTATGGGCCGCAACCATTGAAGATTCTCTAGCCCTTGATATCAAGCAACATGCTAGTGATAATAAATTCAAGATGGAAGGAGATCTAGTATATTTCGAAGAGCAGTTGTATATCCCAAAAGGGCCAACACGACTCCGAGTTCTTCAATCTCGTCATGACTTTCCAACTGCGGGACATTTTGGATTCAATAAGACCTTGGAACTTATTTTCCGCGATTTTTGGTGGCCTCAAATGTGGAAGGATGTGAAAGATTTTGTTGTATCTTGTGACATTTGTTCAAGATCCAAAAACCCTCAACATCGACCTTATGGACTTCTACAGCCATTGCCTATTCCGCGCCGACCATGGTCTTCGGTTTCCATGGACTTTATTACGGATCTACCACCATCGAATTCATTTGACAGCATTTTTGTTGTCGTAGATCGGCTTACAAAGATGGCACATTTTGTCCCTTGCAAGAAGACATCGTCAAGCGAAGACACAGCAAGACTCTTTCTTGATAATGTGTATCGATATCATGGTCTACCAGATGATATCGTATCGGATCGAGGAACCCAGTTTGTGTCAAAGTTTTGGAAATCTCTTTTTGAGATATTGAAGGTGGATATCAAGCTTTCTTCGGCATTTCATCCTCAAACGAACGGCCAAACAGAACGGGTGAATCAAGTTTTAGAGCAATATTTACGTTGCACCATCAACTATCAACAAGATGATTGGGCCGCATATCTACCGCTAGCCGAGTTAGCATATAACAACACCCTTCATGCGTCAACTCAACAAACGCCATTCTTTTCCAATTATGGATACCATCCGAAGCTTGACTTATGGAGTTCGTCAACGATTAACAATCCGGCAGCTGAAGGATTGGTGAAGGAGCTTTCGCAGCTTCAAACTACATTGAAGCTTCAATTTCAAACTGCCCAAGAATCTTACAAGGCGTCCGAAGACAAATTTCGGAATCAGGCACCTAAATTCACGATTGGAGACAAAGTTTGGTTGCTTCGACGAAATATTAAGACCAAGCGGCCATGTGACAAATTGGACTATCGGAGATTGGGACCATTTGTTATCCAGAAGCAGATCAATCCTGTAGCGTATCGTCTGGAGTTACCAGCTACTATAAAGGTACATCCTGTCTTTCATGTTTCTTTGTTGGAGCCTTATCGAGAATCGTCTTTTCTTGGAAGAGTACAATGTCCACCACCTAGCATAGAAATAGAGAACCACGAAGAATACGAGGTGGAAAAGGTCCTGGATTCACGGCAAAGACGGGATAAATTAGAATACTTTGTGCATTGGAGCGGTTACGATATTAATGAACGAACATGGGAGCGGGCCGAAAATCTCGCGAATGTGCCGCAAAAGGTACAGGAGTTTCATCGACGATATCCTGAGAAACCCAAGCCGGTTCGACGATAGCTTCTTACTGAAGCTTGCTCATCCAGAAAACAAAAAAGAGGAGAGAGCACCACCAAAATCCATAGTTGATGTAGTCATTCTCTCCAAGATAGCGTAGAACTTTGTTAGTAGCCCAAGTTTGTTCTTATTGTTTTAGCCTTTGAATATGGATAGCCAAGATACTACACTTGTCATGTCATCTCAAGCAACTAGCTCACGAAGACGACTGCGAGATGAAGAATCGCCTGCACCACGACGACGTCGAAGGATTCCGAGCAATAGATCGCTGGTGATTGTATTTGAGGTCGAGCTTGCCTACAATGGTCAGCCAGAAGGAGTGTTTGCAGGACAATTTCACAATGAAGACACGGAGGTTCATGCTTGGTCAGAAGTTGAAGGCGTGGGCCACTACCGTTGGCTTCAAGGACCATTGAATCACTTGCCTCGTGAACAACAATTGGAGTTCATAGTAGAGGTTATGCGACAGATCTTTATTTTCTTGCATTGGTATTGACTCACGATAACATTGCTTCTTGGAGACCTCGAAGCTAAAGGAGGAGGTGATATTAGGGACATAGTCCTTAGACCTTTCTAGAGACAAGTTTCTAGAACCTTCTAGAAAGAAGTCTCTAGAAACTTCCAGAAGATTCCTTGAATATTCTCTTAGAATATTCTTCAAAGATTCCCTAAAGATTCTTTGAAGATTCCCTAAAGATTCTTTGAAGATTCCCTAAAGATTCCCTTAGAAGGCTCTAGAAGATTCTTAGAATATTCTAGTAGATTCTAGGAAGTTACTTGAGAAGCTTCCTAGCTCTTGGGTAGTTGCTCGAGAAGCTTCATAGTTCTTGGGAAGCTTCTTGATGCACTTCCTTAGAACCATAGGCCAGTAGTATATATAGGAGTCGAGGCTGAAGAGTTCTTCAGTCTCGGCAACACATCTCTTGGAGTTCTAGCTCACCTTTCTGGTGTTGTTCTTGTATTCATCTGATAATCTAGTTCTGCCACTTCTTCTTGAACTTCTTTTTAGATTTCAAGTCTGTATTTTGTGTCCGTGACACTCCAAATGGATCCACTCTAGGACAATATCGTGGTATTAAATTATGTAAGGCCTTGTATGATTTAAAATAAACTAGATGCATGTGGTATCAATATCTTTGAGATTATTTAATTACAAATAAGTTTGTAATTGATCCACTAATTCCTTGTTTGTTTATCAAATAAGGAAAATTTGGAGTTGTGATCATCACTGTATATGTTGATGATCTTAACCTAGTGGGCACTACATCTACATGTGTTACAGCTACTAACCTACTTATATGTGAATTTGAGATGAAAATGCTAGGAAAAATAACTTTCTGCATTGGTCTTCAAATTATACATCTAATAGATGGTAGTATTTTTCTCTACCAACTAACGTATATTAGACGAATCTTGCAAAGATTTAATATGATTGATGCTTATGTATTATCTATACCAATGGTTAGACGTGGTCGTGATGGTCATGATCCATACCGTCCATGCGAGGAAGATGAAGAAATATTGGGAGATCAATATCCATACCTCACAGCAATTGGAGCACTTTTATATTTAGCTACATCTATAAGATCAGATATTACATTTGCAATTAGTATTTTTGCAAGATGTAGTGCACATCCAACACTACGACATTGGAATGGTATCAAACATTTATTATATTATTTAAAAGGTATTGAAGACTTGAGATTATACTACACACAATCTGCAGATTCAAAATTGATTGGATATTGTGATATATGATATAAATCTGATACTGCAACAACTAAATCTCAAATAGGATATGTATTTTTAAGACATGGGGCTGCAATATCATGGAAATCAGTGAAACAAACAATAACTGTAACTCCATCCAACCATGCAAAAATTATTTCCTTACATGAAGCATCTCGAGAATGTATTTGGTTGCAATTAATTAATAAATTCATTCAAACAACCTGTGGATTTTCATATGATGATTCTCCAACTATCTTGCATGAAGATAATAGTACTTGTATTATACAGATGCAAGTTGATTTCATTAAAGGCGACAAGACAAACCATATTGATCCAAAGTATTTTAGTTATACCCATGACTTCATTATTGATCAAGCACTTATAATTAAGAAAATTGAATCTACAAATAACCTTGCTGATCTCTTCACCAAAGCTCTCCCATTGTGCAACCATTGTTGACTTACTTATGGCATTGATATACGACGACTTATTTTTCTTGAATAAGAAAATTAATGAGCTCTTTAAATTATTAAAGAAAATGATGTTGTACTCTTTTTCCTTCATCTATAGTTTTGTCCTTAAATACAATAAGATTTTTCTAGATAAGGTTTTAATGAGGCAACAATTGTTGATCTTACAAGATCACAGAAAAATATAGATCATAATTCTGTACAAATTTTATATTATGTAAATATTATGATGAATGAAGAGGAGTATTGAGAGCATTAAATGTAGCCGATGCTCTCCATAATATTTATTATAGACTATAGTAAATACCATAGCTATAGTATTTAGAGTCTAGTGGAGAAGAACTGTTTATCCTCTCTCCTTCCTCTTTTTGTATACAAGACACAACCAGATCAATAGATTTTTATGTGTGAAGCTCTCTCTCCTTAAAAACCCTCTTGTGTATATGACTTACTACTACTCTTGTGTGTGTGTGTTATTTACTACTACTCTTGTGTCATTATAAACATTCTCAACAATAACAACCTACAATCATCTATAATATAACTTCTAAAAATTGAATATGTTTGTCTTGGAAAATAAGACTTTTAAGAGATAAATACATGACATCTTTAAATATAAATACAAAAGAAGTTAAAAATTACAATATAAATAGCAATCTTACCAATTACAAAAATCATATAAGAAGTATTGTTGAAGAAAAGACTACAAAGATCAAAAGATTTAAGTATTATGATTACCATAAACAAATAAAAACATGCAAGCAAAAGGTTAGCAGGCTGTGATCTTTTGCCACAACCCTACCTAAGAAAGGTCTGGTATTGGGCACCTAAAATGTGGGTCTGACTTGGCCAAGTGGATCCGAAGCAATGCTTTCAATGCCAGATTCAAAGCTAGAATGGAATAAGATTTCAACACTTATCTTCATGTGGGAGCTATGCCTTGGTGGGAACGACCACGTTCTATGTGCTAAATTTTGTTAAAATATGGTGTTAGCAGTCAGGATTAGAAGACCTAAATCAGTGATTAATCATACGCAGTCGTCACTCAAGACTATTGACTCAAAGTGACTACACCCATGGAAATGCCCCAAAGCAGCTGGCCGAGCTTTGATGCAGCGCTAACATGAGTGGGTTGTATGTGAAAATAGAAAAATGCTTTGAGGTTAATTGAGAAAAGCCATCACAGTGAAAGGAAAACCAAAGTTATTGCATTTGAGGAAATAATACATTACAGTACTAGAATCAGCTTCTGTACACTGTTTCATGAAGTAGTATGTAGTTGTTACTGTCTCTATCCAGAGTCGTTCACAAAGTTTATTGTATAAGCGTAATATTTATTCTTGAAGATGTGATAGATAAAGCCCTCCAAAAAGTGTATTGCAAGTCTCTGAGAGCTGCACTGTGCTCTTAACTAGTTCAAACAGATGGAGTTTGCTGGCAACATGCCCGGACATCCCAAGTCCAGGTACCACGAATCGTTGTTTTCCATTGCAAATTGCTGCAAGAGCGTCCACCAGGTGCACCTTCTGCATGTCCACCCTCCTTGATGTTGCCGTACTATGCAGTTGGATCGGAGAGATGCAGTGCTTTTTGGATTGTTCACTTTTTATGTTTGGCTTGACTTAGCATCCAGGACGACTGAGATTTACTGGGCAGTCGCGTGCCGAATGCCCCACCAGTCCATAATGGTTGCATATGCTTCGATTTCTACCATGCAGTTTTAACGGAGCTTTGTGAATTTACCTGTCCATTTTGTCCTGCACAGAAGTTCAAAGCCGGGCCGCAAGAGCGTCATCATTCTTATCCTAATCCTTCCTCCTGATGTTTCCCTGCTAGAAGTCGTCCAGACAATTCATTGAACGAAGGCAGCATCTATCTGAAATGAACTCAGTCCAACGAAATGCACTAAAGCTTTTGGGTGACGTATTGGTTACCTACTCCAACACGAAACCGTTGCGTGATGCTTCATTGTTTGCTGAGCTCATATATTGGCTGATCTGAGCTTCAATAGTTCGGTTTCCAAACGTGGAATGGAGCAGCTTTGCGGCAATTCACCTTCACTGATTTTACCGCAACGGAATCAATTTACAGCGTATGATCACACGCAGGTTTGAGACCAAGTTCACATGCACCCAATCGCCCGTGCACACACACCTGTTGTCATTCAAACCGCGTACATACTGTTGATTCACAGTACAGTTTATCACAGTTTTTCAATGCTACTCATGGCCCAATCCTATGTTACACCTCCTCTGTGTTGCTAACATTAAACTGTTCAAACGACAACGATAACCATGAAACCACTGTAAGCGTGATTCTTGGAAGCTTAAACCTTCAGTGGCACCCTATCAGTGCCCAAGGAAGGTTGAAGTTTTTTGGAAAGTCTTACTAACTCTTGCGTCCTGCGTTTTCGCACAAGTTCTCCCCTGCTTGATGAAGGTTAGTTCCTCCTGTCTGTAACAGAAGCCGAATCTGCTTCCACACTAGGCCGTAGTCTCAGATCCACAATGCCGCCAATGGCATTTCAGTTCACAATCACTCAAAAATAGAGTCTTCTGCTTGGTATTCGAGGTTCGTCTCAAGGTATTCACGTGAAGCTTCTGAAGTAGGCATTGTAGATCTAAGATCGCGTTCAAGGGAGAATTTTATTGTCCTTGTTGCTCTCAGAACCCCAATCACCCAGTTGCTTTTTTGTACTAATGTGCAGCAGTCTCAAATTTAGTTCCTGAAGCTCTATCCCCAGTCTTCGAAGACGGTGGTCCACAAACCTGGAGGACATGTTGATTTATTTCATTGGTCGAATGCACACAACCAGGCAAAGGACTGTGTTCAAAGAATAAGAGCAACATCACACTTTTGCAAAATAATTATCGCGTTCTCATTGAGCAGAATGAGAAAAGTGACATCAAAGCACGCATTGACTGAAGATTGCAAGGACATTCATAGAGATGCATAATCGGTTGTCCGACTTCTTTCAGGAGACCATCATGGGGCATGGGGCAATTTTTGGAGGTTCCACGAAGAGGACTGATGTGGCTGATCTTCCTAAAGCTGGGTGGGCAGCAGCACAAGTTCCCCAACTGCCTAGCAGCAGGATTGAGAACACTAGTGTGGAGGTGATAACAGCGATCCCCTATCCCTATCTCAAGCATTCCAAGTGGTAGAGTAAGATGGAATACGTAAAGAGGCATTCAATCAAATGATAAATTATCTGCAACTTGTGTAAGTACCTAGTATTCGACTTGTTCAGCAACCGAATGGGCAGAATTGATTGCAAAATATCTGATTATGTGCCTGATTTTTTCCCTGAGAAGAAAGAATCAGTTGCTTGTAAGTGATGTGGGGTAGCAAAACAGATCCACAACGCATAGAAGTCTGATTGCTACAAAACTCCATGTTTATTTATCCTTTCAAGGCTCCCAAAGATCTCACTGATCATTCGAAGTGGAACTAAGATAGTCTCTTCTGCCGCTAGAAAGCTAGTGAGAAAAGAAACAACATACTTGCACATCACTGGCTGCATTATAATTTTCGAGATTGAAATGGTGTCGACACAGAAGAATCTGTAGAAGTTGACCGACCACTCACCCATTATCCACATGTGAGCCAAAGCTTTGATACCAACAGTGACGTAAGCCATATCACATGAGGTGTTGCGTATATGGCTAGAATAGCAGACCAAAACAGAGTGCATGCAACCGAACACATTGCTATTCAAATCAGTTTCAGCAAATGATTGTTCCATGAGCTTCGAGAGAAACAGAGCCTGCTTCTACATTCCACGTGCCACTGCAAGGTGGAGGTTGAACTATTCATGGAACTTGTATGAACATCCGGGGGGATTCTCATCGCTGTATTTACTGACTCTCAACACGCGCCGAAGACATATCAACGCACTGTAGACATTGATCAGAGAACTATTACCTCACTTCGGTTTGCTTCGTGTGAAGGTTACTCATTCTATCATAAATCCGCAGCGCAACGTCTGTGGTGACGCAGTTAAGGAATCCTATAACAGACAAATTTCTCAGCTTCCAGTCATGGCTGACCAATTACACAAATTGATCAGTATTCGACCAGAACAACTACCACAGAGAGTATGTTTCAGCAGTTCATGGCCTGTGCCTTGGTAAGTACTTTAAGTCGTTCTGTGCCCATGCCACCATAACGAGTTTAATTGCGAGAAAAAATTCGTTACTTAAATCAGTTGGACTTCTGCATCAGTCGTCATCGATGAGTTGACATGTGCCAGAATAACTCTTAGAAAGCCTAAAAGACCAAAAAATCAGAGAGACCTCAATTGAGAGTAATACCTTAGTTTCAGAATGAACTAGCTTACCGGCGCCGGTTACGGGGACGAGACATGTGGTGTAGTAAGATCTTCCTGGAGTGCAAGTTTAGAACGAACCACGAAATAGAAAAAGATCAGCACAAATGTTTTATAAAAAATGACTCAATGATTGAATGAATGCATTGTCGACAACGCAATAATTAGAATGCCAGGTTGATGCATGCATACCTCAAAAACCTGGAAGGCAATCCATGACTCACAGAATCAAAAATGGATACCGTAACAGGTGATCATCAATCCACCCGCGGCACAGCTCTTAAACCTACAATGCCACATGGTGGACCGCATGGATTCCTGAAGTATGAGGCACATGTGGATTCCATCATGATCAAATAAAAGTCCGGTATTCCGCTGTCAGTTTCGCAAGAGGCATTGTAGATCTAAGAGCAAGGTCGCGGATGAAATCTTCCATGTCTTCGCTGCACATAATCAGCAATGTCTCGTCGTCTGTCCACTAGTTGCACGAGCAAGAAAGACAACGTCAGAAGCTCCAAAATACAACAAAAACATGGATTATGTGATCCACGACTTGGATGAGGGAGGCATGACGGGGGAAAGGACGGGGGTGCGTGATTTACACATAAAGTAATGTAGAAGGGAACACAAAACCACGGCGGAGGAGAAGGAAGAGAATTGAGACAGAAAATCAGAAGGAGAGGGGAGAATTTCACTTGTGACGTTCATGCAGGGCAGAGAATTGATGACGCGGGGAGCGAGCGGCATTAGGCATACACGCCGCTCTCCATCCCTGCCCCACCAACTCCCCCTTGCCTGCCCTTGCCCTTGCCTTCCGCAAGTGTGATGATCTCTCTCCGGCTTCGCAACTGTGTGTGTCGTCTCAGTCAGCAAGTGTGCTTCTCTTCTACATGGGGCTAGCAACCCCGGAGCCCGGGCGTGGCAGCATCTTCACCCTCCGTTGATCAGCACCAGGCTCGGATTCCCGGGCGGGCGAGGGTTTGGATCAGCGAGAGAGTCTCGATCTCCGCCCCCTGGCCTACCCCCCGTAGGGAGGGGGGACGCCTCCTCCTCCGAACCCCAACTTTCCTTTGCTTCCTCGCAGGGAGGGCGGGGGAGGGGTCGGCGTTCCATGTAATTCACGGGTTTAGGGGTGGTGGGGAAGCTCGGTATTATGGTCCACCCTCTTTCACCGCTCCTCCTGCTGTGTGTCTTGTGCACGGCATTGCGCCCCGTCCTCATCCTCGTCCTTGTGCTCATGCTCTATTGAACCATCTAAGAGTAAAAGTTTATGTTCATAGCTTTTTAGCTACAGTTTCATCTGAATTTTAGTTAACGAGTTCTACAGTGGTTGCAAGCATCTGGGTTTTGTAGTATAGTAATTTTACATACATGTATTTTTTTTAAAACATCTACATGGTTATGGGTAAGATTCTATCCGTACAGTTTCTTGTTATATACTGTATTTATTTGTGTTGTCACATTGTTAAGCAATATGTATATACACCATTGTTAATGCATGGATAAAGCGAGAGAGAGAGAGAGAGAGAGAGAATTTAAATTATTACTAATTTTGACAAGTCATACAAATTTGATCATCGTCTCTTTTCTAAGCTCAAATTTGAAGTCATTCTTGTCATTGAAATTTAAATTAGACAATTCTAAATTACATATTAAATCATAGAAATGTGATTTTATACATTAAAAAGATCTTTACAATTTTCAACTTTTTTTTCATGCTTCAAATAAATAAAACAATACCAATGGTGTTGAATTTTATATTTTTATATTTATTTCTTTCGATTTTTTCATAAAGAACTACCAAAACATTATAAAATTTACTGATTTTCCACCTTTTCAATCAAAGTTTTTGTTGTTGATACTAACTTAACATTATTACATAACTGAATGTACTTATCAATTTAAATATAAAACTTTAGAGTGTTTTTGACAATTAGTGATATGTTCTATTGACAAATAAATTATTTACTATTTTAAAAATCAGGTATATTTGTTTACATTTTTTTTTCAAATTAAAGAAATTAATAACAAATTGTATACCGTTTTGCACTTATTATTTTTCTTTGATGTAAGTTTCTGCCATTGAGCTATTCAATGTGACCTGCAATTGAATTCTGAAATGAAAAACAAATCATATTCTTTGGTAATTTTTTTCTGTTTCTTACAAAAAGTTTGAATATTCTGATTTTTATCTGTTATTATAGTTTAGAAAATAATTTTAAAAAACTGATATTCAACAGTATAAACGATATTTTTTTTTTGTCACATTTATTGAAGTATATTATCAGATTATTTTACCATATGTATTCTTAAAAATGCAAATTTTATGATTTGTATTACAATTGTTGTGTGTGTTGTGATACTTTTAACATAATTGATAAACCTTTGTAATGGTCATAATGAATTCCACTTTCTAAAATACCGTCTAAAGACTTGCTTTTCTTAATTTTTTCTAAAGTTTAACTACAGAAAATTGGTTTCAAAATTTTCTAGTTATTAAGGATATATGTATATATATATAGGAATTTTATTAATATTTTTTTAAAAGATGTAATCTTTTTTTGTCTAAAAGAAATTTTACTCTAAATACTATATTTTGATTTTCTAAAAACATACTTCAAGACATTGAATTTAAGTCTAATAAAAGAATTTTCATCAAATTTTAATTTGATATGGAATAATGGTTTTCTCAAATACATATATTAAATAAAAATAATAATTAAACTATTTTCAGGGATTATAAATTTTAATAATTATATTTATATTAAAGACTGCATTATCCTTATTATGTGATGTTTAGCAAATACACTTTATGTATCAAAAAAATTCCAAGCTTATTATAATGATTTAAAATTATCTAAGGTGTTATATTATTTTAAAAATTCCTTTAAAAATCTATCATCTTGAAATTTTATTTGCAAATGTATCTTGCTTAATTTATAACTGTGATGGATGAAAGTTATACAAACTATGCAAGGCATACAAGTTAGGAAAATATAAATTTACAACCTAGGAATGATCTATGTTCTAGCAAATATTATCAAGTAAGCAAGGAATATTAATTAAGAGGTATAAAATAATTGGAGCACATCTCTATGTGTGTATATTATATTATATATATATATATATATATATTTATAGTACTTATATGTATGGATAATATTCTCTTCAAAATACAATGTTGATAATGACAATAAACTTGTCAAGATCTAAAATAGTATAAAATTTAAAATTACTATATTTAATATTTCTATATTATAATATAATAAGAATTTATTGAATTTAAATTCTTTCTAAGTAAAATTTTATTTTTATCTAATATCTATATACACATGTATAATTTTCTTACATTTATGTCTTAATTGGTATTAATAATTGTCAATTTGATTTTCTAATTTAATACTAATAAAAGCCAAAATAAAATTTTAACTCAAATTTCTAAAGTAATAAAATAAGGTTGTTATTTTGACTTCAATTACTTAAAATAAAATTTAGATTTTATACTTATTTATATGCATGCACATTTGAGATTACAAACATATAAAATTTTATGTAATATATTTTTGATATTAGATTCTTTCACAATTATCACAAAATTTTGGATATATTTATCCTTATTTTGTCTCATAATACTAAATTTTAAAATTACAACATTTTGGATCACAATATTTACAATAGGGGATTTCAAACATGGCCTTTTTGAGTGATATTTCACTCATGATGCAAGCTCAAAGTATCCTATGATGTTTCAAAATATCATTTGATACTTCACCAAATCATCCACCTTGGAAGGGAGGTGATTTTGAGATCAAAATATCAAAAGAGAGGCTAGTAAAATATCAAAAATCATGTTGCTTGCTCAACTCTCATTCATTTTTGACTCCATACCAAGAAAATAATAAAGTTTGAATGGTAATATTTTGGATTTGATATTTTGGATCATCCTAGAAATATGAGGTGCTAAATCCCAATTATTTGGGTTTGCAAATGTTCCATGTTTCAAACCTCCTAATATGAGATGATATATGCAATCAATTCTAATGGCATATCAACTTTAGTAAAGTAATTGAAACCAAAATAGAAGATAGAAATAAAAAAATAATGAATATCACATTTATAATACAACATGAAACCATTATGTTTTGTTAAAGATGCAAAAAATGAATAAGAACAATAGTGTGGGTAAAGTGGTATGATTTTGCAAACTGTTCCAACTATGAGATATTATTTCAAGAGCCAAACAAGAATGAAAACCACACACAAGAGTAAATATTAGACTTCCTATAGTTAGGGTGAGACATTTCATTTAGAGTTGATCAAATTGGTATAAAGGCTGTACCACTGGAAAAATTCAAAAAACACCCTTATTGAAGAACCCACCGATCTATCGTTTAGAAAGAAATATTTCTTGCAAACAATAGCTACTTGAACTACACAATTTGAGTGTACCATCTTCAAATCCTTCAAAAGTAGAGAAAAGATTTTCACCGCATTCGATTTTGTTTTTGTTGTGTTTTTCTTTTTCGTATTTTGGTCACATATTTCATGGTGCGCCTTAAATTTCAACTGTCACTCAAGATTCTATTTGCTGGAATAATATTCCATCTCTGTCATGAAGAGTTGAGTGCAAAAAGTATTTATCACCACAAGTTTAGCATAAAACCTCTATCCGCCTTGATTCAGCAACAAAATCAGTCAGTCAGTACACACTCACACAATCCCCAAATTCACAAATGTTTCACCCACCTTTCGCATCAACAGAAAACACTGTAACGTTTTCAATACTGTCGAAGATGTCTGTGGAATCTCATACAATCATGTGGTATGAAGTGTAACCATGTTGTAGTAATATTCACATAATAATGGTGATGGAAGTCAGAATCAAGCAACAGTGCAGCATTGCAACTTGTAAACACACACATTGAAACAACACGACATCTATTTGTATCAATCAATAGAAGAAAAAAGAAAAAAGAAAGCGTTGAATTTGATTGATGGGAATCAAAAGCAGGCTACTGAAGGAGCCGAACTCTGGTGCATGCGAATCACGTGGACGTGGCGCATTGCGAGTTTGTCTTGTACAGACAGCAACCCTTCTTCAGTAATGCTTGCAGATTGCTTCATGTTTGTATCAGTCAGCTCGATGGGAACTGGTCGAGCTTATGGTACTTACTCAATTCAAGTCGAGCAGAGATGTGACTGGAAATTCTGATACGATTCGTCTCATGATCAGTACCCCACTTCCGGGCACTGAGTGAGAGTGAGGGTGTCTGATGCGTATGTGAGTGTGGGTATTACCAGGCATGTGTGATGCGTGTTATTTACACCCCCCCCCCTCCCCCCCCCCCTCGAGAGAAAACAGCAAAGCAATTTGATGTTCACGTAGAACCGACTCCAAAACGCGCAGCCGATGACAGTTCTGATTCGACAGTTACTTTAAGGATGAAGTTTAGAAATATCTTGGCTGCAGTGGGTGGCTGACAACTACGGACCTTCTGCAGATATTTCGAAGTAGTGGTTGACATCTCGCGGCGTCGTTCGTGGTCAGAAAAAGAAATCATGGAGCATGTTCCTCCACAAATCGATTGCCAGCTTGCTGCTGGTCATTCGCACCTGCTCGTTACGGATAGCGGGTTCTACTGCACCATGGATCCGCAACTCACTCTGACCGTCTTCTGGTTGTGCCTTCCACCTGCCCATCGAGGCACGTCGTTTTACATGGCTTGCATTTGAAGTTGGGTACAATATGTTCCCTGCCTAGTTCCAGTGCTGATGGGGTTTTTACACCTTGCAGATGTTACTCAAAGTGCGCTCCAAACTGCAGAGATACGTTTGGCTCGGAATCCTCTCCCCCACCCCCACCCCCACTCTAGGTCTTTTCGCTGTACACCAGCACAGAGAAGGTGAAAGCATACACTTTTTTGGCCTCGGAAGCCGCATCTTTCTTCTATTCTAGATGTGACTCTTCTTCTATCAAATCCTCCGCTTCCTACATGCTGCTGTAATTTGCTTCAACGTTGGAATCAAATGGCGCTTATCCTCACGTATGTCGTAGTTGGTCAGCTTCCTGTGTGGCACTGGGTTTCTCCTTCTGATGACAATGTCAGAACTAGTGTTTGTTTATTAAGCGATTACTAATATTCTTTTCACATTCATCTCTTCTGTTGTGCACGTTCAGTCCAGTTCCTTTTTTTTTTTTCTTTTTTTTTTTTTAATATTTAATTTCTGACTTAAGCGGTTCGGGTTTGCGAGAGGGCACAATTTTACTGCTTCCATATCATTCAACGAGTGAATAAAATTTTTCTGGTATGAATAAGTACAGTAATTTACTGTAATTCAACTTTTTTTTTTCTTCTGTTGAAACGTACAATAAAAGTACACAAGCTGAGTTTTTTGAACAACTGAACTTGACAGCTAATAATCCATCTTCCTTCAAAACAAACAAAAGAGTACCATGCTATTGAATGTATTAAACATTTCACCTATCTAGCTAATCCATATTGGGTGAATGGATAATGAATTTATCATGTTCATTAGTCTGCCTGGAAGTTTACTGCTGTCACCTACTTAACGCCCACGCCAGACATTGTTAGACTTGTCTACACCACACTCGCAGAGCTTACTAACTGCCCTAGGTTAATCTTAAAAAACAATGTCTATACTTCAGTTAGTTCATACGTCACGAAAGATGTGAAAGTCGACAGTATGTCTACGCTAAGCCCTAGATTCGGAAAGAACAGTTGAATTTACAGCATAATATTACCCCATGAACTGATGCTTCAAAGTCCTGTGCGATTGTAGTGTTGTGTGTCATGCTTCAATGCCTTGCCATCCAGGACCTGATGCTTCTTATAGTCAAGTTCTCTTCTCATTCATATCGTGGCTCTTCCTTTCCCTGCTGGATACCGTTGAACTCCTTCAATCGCAGCAAGTCGAATGATTTACTTCAGATTTTCCCAACTAGATAATTACTGGATGCTCTGTCTGCCTGAGCTAGGAAGTTCTTCTTCTTAAGGTACTCACACAACTCAGGTGCATGGGATAATGCTCATCTATTATGAATACTTAAAAGATGAATGAGGAGAACAAGAAAGATTGTTTTCAAATGTGAACTTTCGTTTGCAAATGTCATCGTAAACTCTAGATGAGACCTAGGATGTCAACTATGCATGCACCTCTTCTAGAAACGGTACATTGTGCCCAGCTGTATATCACTGAAATGCGGTGTGGTGGTATTGTGATTCCGAAGCGGAAGTCAACATTTGGGATTCGACTCAGGTGAAGTCATAAATGCGAGGATGCAGTGACAACACTCAACTAACATCGTGCAAAATGAGACAAGAATGGAGACTGTATTGTGTAAGCTTTTTTCCAAATGCCCTCTTCATTCATGGTATAAAGATAGAACATCCCGAGGAAAAAGCTCATCCCTCTCTATTCTAAAGTGGGTATCAAACTCGATTTGCTACCAACCATGATACAAATTGACTTTCCAAGCATTGGAATAGGCACAACAACTAGTTGCATGTGAGACGTGAAGAGCCGAAATAAAGAGGGATTTCGGCTCTCAAAGCACCCTCATGCTTCATAGACTAGTTCCAACAGATCCATGTTGCGTTCCAGGTTTGCGTCTTCGCTCCCTGCTACATCAAGCAAAGGGAGTTGTGTGGACTAGCAACCATGGGTGCAATGTTATAGTAATGGAAAGATTGTTATAATTAGATGATAAACCTTGATTCTGTACATCACTCCAAACTTGTTCGTTACACCAGATCCGATGATCTTGCTTTCATCTGGAAGCATCGAATCAAACTCCTTGTTTATATTCAGTCCTCGATGAAAAAGGAACCATCTTTTGAGTATACACACTCTTAGGAATCGTTCATGGTATTAGAGCTTAGCTAACGTCTCGGTATGTGAGTTACATTCTAGATCCAGATCTGAATCACTCATCATGGAGAAAACTCGAAGTGATGAGACGGGTGAATTCTCTAGCATTCTCAGGAGAACACACAGTAGCGACCACTGCCAATGCAGCCAAAGTAGTCCCAAGGTCAAATCTAAGTTCAGGAAATTCGCCTCCTATAAGTGGAATATAACTCTCCTTTCAGGACACTAGCATAGTAGATGGTGCTCACAACCAGCTCAGTTTGGGCTATACAAATGCAGAGAATCCTTAAACGTTACCATGTTTGGGTTCATTGCACAAGTCAGCTGTCATCTGTAATATCAAGTGCAAAATCACAAGAACGTGAGCAAGCATATGACATTATTTTAGAATTAGTCAAATATTCAGTGGCAACAATAGAAGAAAGATTTTCAAATCCCTATGCATGTTGGCAACACTTGAGCAATCTACACCAGTCTAAGAGCAGATTGAGGAGGCTGATGCTGCTGCATAAGTTGGTCTGCTCTAGAAAAGAAGAAAACTTCTCTATGGAGCAACACTTGAAAGCATATGAAACAATCCTTGTATTCAACTGTTTGGCATCATTAATGAAAGAGAACTAGGATTGGTTGGAGAAAATTAGGGTTCCAATTCCAAAAGCGCTTGTAGTTCTATTGGTACTTGCTTCATTACCAAGAAATTCAATGACATTGAAGTTAGATTGCTTGATGAAGAACTTACTCTCAAGCTAGAATTAAGCTTTAAAAGCTCTTTACTTAAAAAATGTATTAAAGCCATTGAAATGCAATATCTTCCTACTACAAATGAGTAACTGACAGCCAATGTTAAGATCACAAACTCAATAGAAATAAGAGAAGTCTACTACTTGAGAGCTTGCCAAGATTAAACAACAATTCAAAAATAAAAATATTCATTTTTTTTAAAATTATTGCAAGTATAGTATATACAAGGATTGTTTCTTTGAAAATCAATGAAATTTGAAGAGAATAGTTGAAGAAATAAAGATTCATGATATCAAATTGAAGCAATTGCAAAAGAAAAGAATCAAAAGATTTGAAGCATGTAAGAGAAAGAACACTAAGAATGATAAAATAAAATATGAAGCATATTAATAAAATAACTTAATTACATAATAATAATAAAAGCCTTTTATATTATCATATAAAGAAAAATAGTTATAACTTCTTCATAACTATTTTATAACTACCTAATAATAATTATATATTTACTAACATGTATTAACAAATCTAACGCCTCCTTTAATTATCATAGACTAAATTATATTTGAATTATTTGTGTTAATCAAATCTTTCATGAAATTGTTGTACTTAGTCTTTGGAGGTGACTTTATCATTATATTTGCCTTTATATCATTTATAGGTATAAACTTCAAGACAACTTCATTTGTCTTTATTTTTTTTCAAATATAATGATACTTAATATCAATATGTTTTGTGCAATCATAGAAATATAGATTTTATACGATTGCAATATATGATTTTCATAAGAAGTTATAATTAATAAAATCACTTGTTGTTGAATTTCTTTAAAAAGATTTTATTTGATTTTGTTATTGTCTATCATAAAAAATAAAAAATAAAAAAATACTTTAATTGAAATGAGATTAGATAAATCATTTGAGATTAAAACTAGATCATCAATATAAAGTCTAAAGATTTAGGATTTAAGATTTATTGACTTATTAGTGTTATCAATTAATACTAAGGAACAAAACAAAGACTTGATTCTAAATCATTGCAAGCACCAAAGGAATGACATATAAAAAATCAAAACAAGGATGGGACTAAGTGTCAAGGATATGAATCTTGAAGAAAGAAATCCTCCATACACTCTTGTGGCACTGAAAAGAACTAAAAATTCACTCAAAGATGATATAGTATTAAATTAGAATGGCTATTGCCAAAAACAAGAAAACTAGAAAGTCTTAGAACAAGAGTAAGGACCAAAAAGGCATTCACAAGAGTAAAGAAGGCTTCACTCTCAACTCCATATATATTCTTAAGTAGGAACTATGTGGCAATGTCCTATAGGTCCTCTAAAATGTATTGACTTTGTAAGACATATATCTTAACTTACAAAACAAGTTTTTTATATATGCGCCACATAGTTAGCTTGTTCCATAAACTACCAACACATGATTAATATGTTGATTAAGTTTCTAGTCTATAAATCAACTACAAATATATGTAAAGTCAAAGCAACATCTATGAAGCTTCTATAGAAGGTATGATGAAATTAATCTATTTTTTTTTTATTTTTATCAACTTCTATCTAATCATACAGGTATTTACTAGAATATATATGTATATCCATGACATTATTCTCCTTGATAAAGACAAATTTTACAAGGAGCAGTCATCATGTGTGGATAAAATTGAAGATATGATAAATTATATTTGTCACATATTTTGATCTTTATTCTCTTTGAAGACAGTTGATAAGTTCTCTTAGTTAGTAATAGTATCCTATACTAGGTCAAAAAGATCAATTTGTTATTTGATTGTTGTTGAAGCCTTCATAACTTTCTTCAAATAAAACATTTGAAACACCCTTAAGAATTTTTCTTATTTTTGATAAGCTCACCAAACATCGAAAGTTTCTTCCAAGGTTGTGATACCAAACACGTTTTATTTTAACATCTATTCAAGGAAAAATATGTTATTCTTGAGGATCTTTATTTCAATTACGTCGTCTTGAAGATTGTGACAATTGTAATGTCTTGTCTAATAAAGCAATAAGTAAAAGCTCTTGGATTGAATCTACTAATTATTAGTTTTCTATCTCCTTGGCCTTACAAATATACAAAAACTATAAAGAAGGGTAGAAGGTAGAATGTTATCTTCTTTGTATCTTCTTTCTTTTATAGCAAATCTTTGCTATTCTTCATCTTGATTTTGATAGATGTCATCAATAAAAAGCCTTAACTTTCTTTTCTGCATTTGTAAGATTTTTTGCTGGCTCTCATGTGTGTTCACTAATATCATATCTGCATCAATGAATAAGATATTCTAACCTATTTTTATGTGTCTTGAATCTAAGATTTTTTTTTACCTTGAACTCTTGATTATTATCTACTTCTATAGGAAGAGGTGGCATTTATCTTCTTTTCAAGATATTCACTATCTTATATAGCTTTAAAAGAGACACATGAAATATGGGATGGATCTTTATAGACTCCAATAGATATAACTAATAAGCAACTATCATGGATATATATCTACTGTAATCATTATATAGGTAGGTAGAATTTAATTAAAATAGATTCATTATATAATACCTTCTAGACAAGCTTCTTAGATGGTGTTTTAACTTTACATATATTTGTAGTTGATTGATAGGTTAGAAACTTGGTCAACAAGCTATCCATATATTACATGTATTGATAGCTTGTGAAACAACCTAACTATGTGGCGGTCATATAAAAAACTTGCCTTGCAAGTGAAGATACATGTTATGCAAAGTCAACACATTTTTGAAGGTCCTATAGAACATCACCATATAGATCCTACATAGATAATATATATAGAGGCAAGAATGAAGCATTTTTTACTCTTATCAATTTCTTTCTTGCTTTTAGTGTAGATTCAAGAGTATCTAGTTTCTTTTTCTTTTGGCCATAGCCATTTTAATTTCTTTTTAATATACATATTACTATATTTTTATTTTTTTACTTTTCTTTTGATATAGATTTCTTAGATTTATGCATCTTCTTGTAGTTTATGTCTTAGATAGATTGACAAGAGTACACTTATAATATTAGAGCTTTGACTTTTCTTGATTAAGAATGGATTATTTTTGTTTCTTGATAAGACATAAGCGTATTAGAAGTTGTGGATTACGCTCTTTTAAACTAATATTATTCTTAATATCTTCTTTATTTTCAAGTCTTCTCTTTTGTTTATCTTGTGCAATATTAGATATTTTTTTTTCTAAGTGTCATCATGGCAAAGCTTCTTGAAATGAAAAATACAATAGAATAAATATAAGAGCAATTAGGAGAGTTAATTCTTACGATGCATCAATTCAGTTTATCGCGACCTAAAGTAACAAAAATAGTAAAAATTGAAGATACAGATATGATTGGAGCCGCTTCAATATCTACATCTAATCACATTCCTTCTCTTATAATAGAACACTCTTCTAGTATTAGAGAACCTAGAGTTGCTTTGTCCAAGAAGTTTAATAGCATAAGATCTAAGTTTTGAGGATTTATTAATCAAGTACAACTTGTGATTGAACTTCAATCTCAAAGCTATCAAATACGAGGATCACAAGTTAGATTCATTTATATACTTATTTCAGGTTCAATATTATTATGATTTTCATCTTTTCTTGAACAACTAGATTCAATATTAGATAATCTAGAGGCTTTTTTGGTGAAGTTTCAATCCATGTATAGAAAACATAATGTAATTCATATTGCAACCATTAAAATTTTATTTTGCAATAAGGCAATCAATTAGTGACTTCATATGCTTCACAATTTGAACAAGTGACAATTGATGTCAAGTGAGATGATGCTACTTTTATCAGCCAATTTCTCTATGAATTATAATATGAAGTAAAGAGATTGATGCTCAACTTATATAATCTTCAAACATTGAATTAAGCATTTGATTTTGCCATAAAATGTGACAATCGATTTTTTGAGTTTCAATCTGAGAATCATATAAGAAAACCTTCATGCTATTATAATTCAATGACAACATCAACAATCTCTCAATCTAAATATTTTGAAGTAAAAGACATATAAATTAATGAGGTACATTTTAAATCTCTTATTGAATAAGAAAAGACTTGTTGTCAATAAAAAGGACTATGTTTATATCATAGAGAAGCTAAGTACATTGCTCAATATTATCCAAAGAAATGATGCCATTACAAAATGATGAGTATGACTATCAAAGATGAGAAAATGTTAGAAAAAAATTT